ATATTTAACTTAAACTTTTTTTTATTTAGTATAGTTTTCATTTTAATTTTCCATTTAAAAAAAGAGAGAAGTTTTTATATCATTGACGACCTCATTTTAATAAAATACATTGTCTAGAGTATTTTCTAGGACTTAGTAAGAAAAGACAAACAGTAAAAAATGACTTTAAAAATCAATTGCACTTTAGTGAAAAAAAAACTCAATATAGAAGAAAAATAAAAATAATAACTAGCTTAAATATGTTCACATATATGGAAAAAGTGAAAAAAAAATCATATCTCTGGAAAAAGTAAAAATAAAAAAAGTCGATTATTAAGATTTTATTATAACTACTTAAAAATGTTAAACAAATTGCATCTAGAGGGGTGAATAGATGCACAAATTAAAATAGATGTCAAATTAAAAAATTATTTGAGTCAATAATTTGTTGAACACAGATAAAGCGGAAACGATAATATAATCAGGAAAAGAGAAAGAGATAAGGGAAATAGAAGAGCACATAATGATTTATACTGGTTCGGGTATAACCAACCCTACATCCAATTCTCAGTCAACTCTTAGCACAAGAGTGACTCCCAATTCACTATCTTTCAAATTCAGTTTACAAATTACAATCAACTCAGCGGAAGAACCAGTAAAAAGTAAATTAATTAAAAAGACAATCATCTCCTTAGAAACTCACTAAGGATGAACACCTCCCTAGAATCCCACTAGGGATGAACACCTCCTCTAAACAAATCAAAGGATGAAAAACACCTCCTTAGAATCCCACTAAGGATGAACACCTCCCTAGAATCACACTAGGGATGAAAAATACCTCATTTGCCACCAATACACAAAGGATGAAGGTAATAAAAATAAGAACAGTCACACCTGGGTAATGGAGACAACAAATTGTAGAAGCATGTAGAATGCCAATCTCTAAGAACAAGTGTGATTAATAATGAGAGCACAAAAGGCAGTAGAGAAGAGGATTTTCTCAGAAGGTGTAAAATATCTCTCTTGCCTTGCTCAAAATTCTTTTCTCAAAACTAATTGAATGTAAATTATATTTTCGAATTCTATAATTGTGTATTTTTTATTTTTCATCAAAACTTAATTAAATAGAAAAATAACATCAGAAAATGGTCGTTGGACATTAATAATATCATAGAGAAAATCAGGATGTATTAAAAAACATTTATTCTTTAAAACAGATATATTTTTCAAATTTGAATTGTCATAATTGAATATATTACCAGTATAATTAATTATGATAGGGAAAATTATTTTTCCATTTCTCATGCATCATAATTGATTATGACGGAGAAAAATATTATGTTATGAATTTTATCACACTTGTGCTTTGGAGACTTATGCATAATATTACTTCATCAACTTGTACCTCCATATCCAGTATTCTAAGACTCTATCTAGTCTTCAGAAATTATCTTGAGCTTTCTTGAATCATCATCTTTATCAAAAACATATCTTGGGCATGTAGTGAAATGTTTCACATTGTCACCAATGTCATAAATTCAGTTTATCCTTAATTCATCTTGAATGATATTGAATTGAATGTAGTTGACTTGAATCATCATCAAAATCATCTCTTGAGAATGTAGGGACATTTTCATCAATCTCCCCCTCATTGCTTTTAAAAATGAGCTTACATAATATAATTTTTTTCCATTGGATGTGACTTTGGTTATTCTTAACCCTATCAATTAATAAACTATAGATAGATTTTAGTTAATGATTGTATAGTGATATACCAAGACCTTAAGATATTATTAAAGCAAATGATATACAACTTGAAAACTCTGATTCAAAAATTATTTTGATTTAGCACAAAGAAATTGTCAAATCATTTACTGTTTACCCCATTTTGATATAAATGCTTAATTAATCAAATTACAGATAAAAAAATGAGTTGGTTTAAAAATAAATAAATTATTGATGGTAAAATATTATTCTTATCGAACTTAAGTTGAATTTATAAATTTTTATTTTATATTTTTTAAGATCAGAAATAATTGATGTGAGTTAATTTTATTAAAAATGTTATGAACAAATCTATTTTTTTATTTTAAGCAACTCATGAAATTTATATTAAAATAATATATATTATTCTTAAGAAAAATCTCGATCCAATTTTTATTAAAAATTCTCATAATAATTATTTTAGTAAAAATATATTCTTTTGTCTTTTCTCTTCTGATTTCTTAAGAAATTTTGGCAATTGTAAATATTTTTTTATATTATCTCGTTGTGGTCTTGATTATGATCTATTGAGTTACATGTTTATGTCATTCATTTTTTTTTATTCTTCCCTTTAATCTGGATTGTTCTATCCCTTTTGCCAATAAGATATGTCAGAGGAGGTTTATGCTTGTTACAAAATTGATACTCTAGGAAAAAGTTTTATTCCTTATTGTTGCATTTATAGTATCAAATTATTTGGTTATTTTGTTGAAATACAAAGTTTGTATAGTTTTTAAGTGTTTATTTTTTTTATCAATAAAGAAATTAGGCTTATATTGTCATAACAGTGACTTATAAATGTGTTAGTGAGGTGTTTCTGAAAAATAATATTAAAAGTGTATTATTAAATAATGATGCTTAGTAAGAAGTGTATCTGCATCAAATTGTTTATTGTATTATTTAGATCGATTATATTATATGATAACTTATTTAAATATAAATGTAGAATATTTTTATAATAATGGATAGACTTTATAGTTAATATAATATTTTTCATATAACATGGTTATATTAATAATCATTATAAAAAGTTAATTTTATATTATTATTTTACGTCTTTTTAGATTTTTATTATTGTTCTACAAATTTTTCTTTTTACTACGTTGTTGTATCATTACACTCTCAAACCTCTTCTTTTATGAATACCATTCTCTCTAAAACTTCTTTTTGAATTTTTTTTTTTCAAGTTTATTCTATTGGAAGTTTTTTGTTTTCAAAGTTTGTCCTCTCTAACTATTGTTTAACCAGAGTAACATAATAAACTTATTATGTAATTATTCTATTAATTATTAATAGTCACCCTAATATAAAAAAGAATGAAGATAAAATTTTTATGTACAGTCTAAGACATTGTAACTATTCCTTCATGTTGATCTCACCTTACATTTCTCTTATTATCATCATTTTAAATAAATATATCACTTTTATTTCTTTTACATATTACATGATAAACTTTATTGACTATTTTTTATATATTATATATTAGTAGTGATATTAGTAAATTGTATTGTGTGAAAAATATAAAATAATAATTAACATTCGATCGATATTTATGCGTGAAAATATTAACATTTATAATACATACTAATTTTTAAAAAATATTAAACATGGATTATTATTAATAAATAATAAATAAATATAAAAAAATTAAAAAAATAAAAAGATAAAATTATAAATATATAATTAAATATATTCAATATCCAATTTAAAAAACTAAAATCATAATTTATATAAAAATTATAAATTAAAAATAAAATAAAATTATAAATATATAAATAAATATATTAAATAATTATTTTATTTAAATAAACCACACGTATGAAAATCATACAGCCCACCACTAGATATCAATCAAAGCCTCAGACACCCTCCACCGATTAAATCCTAACATCATGTCTTATTTATTCACATATTCTACCAAACAAAATTTAATCATAAAGACAAAGTAGAAGAATTCTTCACTTAGTTGTGAGGAATATATTCTACACAAAATTGATCGGCATCTTAGTGGGTTTGACACAAGCATGTAGTAGGCATTTATTCTTCTATAACGTGCGTTTCACTGCTTTTTCTTTGGGCTAAGCAAAGAATTCAAATTTAGAATCAGAAAAAAGAATAAAGGGCTGTTCATTGAAAATTTTGAATTGTCTTACAAAATTTTCATAGGAATCAAATCAGGATAAAAAAGATGCAGTGAAAACTCGAAAGTTCCGAGGAGTTATTAATATTGAAAGTGGCGTCTCTTCTTAAACAATCACACCACAAAGTCAATTTCACAAATGGCCTTCAAGGTTCTTCAATTAAAATATAAATAACATATAAACTGAAGAAAATATTTAATTTAAAATAAATTTGGTGATTTTTAGAATGATCATTTTAAATTTCATTAAAATATCTCTAATTAATAAAAACTTTGTCATTTATGGACTATTTATCAATTTTATCAAGTCTTGAGTATGTATTTTTTAATTCACCAGAATTGAAAACGAAATTGTATGTAAGGTTCATTAATAAGATATCCCCATAAAACTTATAACAAAAATATTACTCACATGGTGCCACCAAATATATTATATCACACGCTATTGTTCGTGTGATTTTTAAAATAATTATTATAAAGTTAATAACTTAATTTGTGAGTAGTTGATGATGAAAATTAATTTGCATTTTTTTTCTTTATATTTTGATTATTTTAAGAGTGACAACATAAAAAAATACTACGGATTAGAACATCTTTAATACAGAATCTTATTTTTAAATATTTTATGTTGGGAATCTCTTTATGTAAAATATATGCAAAATCCAATTTTTATTTTAGTGGTACTTAAAGAAACTTTGTTTGGTTCTATAATTTATTTATTTTTTCTCTTCATCCACAATCTGACTCTGTTGAGATATTTAAATTTTTTTCCTAGAATAACTCATTTTTCATGCTAAAGAATTTTGTTTTTCATTAATACAAAATCTTATATAAAAAAGATTGCATTTAAATACCATCAAAAGATCAAACGTTAAAGATGTTAAATAATATAAAATTACTTAAAGATAGATGCGTTTTGCTTTTCACACAGAAAATTTCTCCTGACCACTATATATATATATGTGTGTGTGGATATATACAGTGTCAATTCTCAAGTATATAAACATATTGAGGAGCATAAAGATAAACCATTACACAATACCACTCAATACTGATACATACCTTGATTCAAGTGCTTACTGAAGATCATTTACAAATCACCTTTTAATTCTCCAAAATGCAGAAGTCAGAGACTCAGGGAAACCAACCTCCCCTAGGTTCCTCTACACACATTGCATCTCTCTCTGCACAAACAAAACCTACTTAATTTGAAGATATTTCATAACTCACTTTTCATTTTCCTATGATTTCAGGATACCCAACTGAGAATCCCCCAGCCAAAAGAAAGTTGTTCTCTGCCTCCAAGAAGAAAGGAGAGAGGGGCTTCATAGAGGGATGGTAAGCATCTAGTAAATAATGGTTATGAATACACACATGAATGCTATCCTGCATGCAAAGCATGGTATTTAACTATTTGTACTATAATTTATAATTGTTTAACCTGGACATGAGTTAATGATAGATATGTGCTAAAGTTTCCATAAACACCACAACCATTCACTAGAATTCTAGCTATGATGAGTTGGAATTGGATCAGATCAGCACAATCTATCAGAAAGGTTATAAACAAATTCATTTGCTTAAACACTCACACCTCTTTTTTTCCTTCTGAAATTCTTATTGATGATGCAGCCTCTTTGCTCTGTGTTGCTGCTGGCTTTGTGAAGAATGCTGCTGAATTACGGTTCTGGCAAGAGTTAAATTAATGCCCACAGCAAGCAAAATAAGGTGTGTCTAAGCAGTTGTATGGATCATATAAGAATGCTTAGGAAATGCCTGTACAAGTTGGCTGCTCTGCAATATACATCTTCTGTGTTCAAAAGGAAAAGATGGCATACCACTTTCAAATTTAATCAATTAGGCTGTATGGTTTATCGAGGGTTCGTGGAAATATAATCTGGTTCACAAAATGGAAATTTTTGACTTAATATTTAAATTATAAGAATAAATATTCACATGTTCGATTAAAACTTCATTCAGTAACACATTAACATTTAAATCACAAAAGTTGTTTAAGACTTTGAAAATTACTTAGACCCGCACAAATAAAGCAAATACGTTAACCCACCAATTATATCAGTCCAACTTGGCGTTTTTTATGAATCAATAATCTTCCTCGTATACTCAAATATATGTGATGATGTTATTTTTAAAAATATAAAAATTGAATAAGTTAATATGAATAAAATTCTCGTATCAATAAAATAATTTATAAATCTATATCAATAAAATAATTTTTTTATAATACAAATTTCTTCGTATGACAATCACTTGTTTTATATTTATTTTACCTTATTTATATTTTTTTATATATAATCTCTAAAACATTAAAAAAAATTAAAAAATAAATTTAAATTAAGTCAAACAAAATACACAAAAATATAATAAAAATTCACAAGCGGTTCAATTTTTGCAATTGCTTTCCTTTCCTTGACCCGTTTTATTTGTCACATAACACCTACATGCACACCTTTCACATAATGGGATAATAATTGTTTTTACATATTTCTTGATTACATAACTTCTTCTCTATGTCTTATCCCTGCCGATTTGTATCCTTGGATTCGATGTCTTTAACTCTTCAATTTTTGATGTTTGACTAGTTACATCATATCAATTTATTTCTTCATTTATTTCTCAATTTTCTTTTCGATTATATGTTCTTTCGAGCATTTCCTAAGTACTCGCAACTTATACCTTCGATCCACACGTTCCAACTTATTACATTAAGTTTACCCTTTACTTTCGATTTACTTCTGTTAGTATTAAATCTCAACTCTCGATAATTTCAATTATCAATACAATTCTTAATGTCTCCCCCATCTTTTGATTCTCGATAATAATATAAATTTCATTGCTTTATCTTACTTTATTCAAAATCTACTCAACCCATGTTTCCATCATTGCATTTCATTCCCCTCATAAATGTCAAATTCTTGTAATAAATGTTACTTTATGTATCGTCATTCATTTAGCCATCATTAGCCTAAATACTAGGTTAAAAATACTTGCATGGTTGAATATGAGCCTACACAAGAGCCCATTTATTGTCTTAGGTTTCCTGGGAGATTGATTTTCTTAAAAAACTTGAAATTATTTCATCTTCCCCATTACTACTCACTCTTCGGCCACTATCTCTTATTTCCCAAACCTTCAAACACCATTTTCTTCACCTACATTCTCACTATACTACCTCCTTTCTTCATCAACTATCTACTCATACCCTAACAAATGGCTTCTTCTTATGCTACCTCTCAGGTTTCCAACATCCAACCAGTAGCTACATGATTCGTTGAACTCAACGATAGAACCTTTGCCCCAGTTATTGACTTGGAAGAAGAATCACAAAAGATATGCTCGACTCAGGTACTCGATAGGAGTCGTTCCATATGCCTTTAGAGGACCTTTGATCCCTGACCCGGACGAACCAACAAATTTTCCTTCTACTGAAGAAGGTAAATCTATTTTTCAAAAACCAGAAGGGAAGCTTAGAAAATACTTCCACTCTCAAACATCCAACTGTATCGTTTTGAACCACCCAAGAAAAAACCATTATATATCAAGTGGCTTGATTGAGTCGAGTCCAAATTCAAAGGTCATTGGAGGAACATTAACATTTACGATTTTCTTTACCACTCTCAATTTGATATAGGGTATTTCGATATGTCAATATTTTTGTCAGTAGTTCACCTTTAGAATAGGGACCTCAACTCTTTAGAGCTTCCTTGTGGCCCAATTTCCCCAACCTTACTCGATGTAGCTGTAATAACAGGTATCAAACTTGTTGGAGAAAAGTACTACATAATGTTATCCTTGCAGACAAAGAGGTTGGAGCTAAAATTCGATGGAACAGGAAAGCTTATAGCCACTTTCTGCAAGAACATTTCATATTTATTGCAGTTTATGATGAAGAACATGTGGTTTTCTTATGTATTAGTTGTGTACACACGTGTTCTATCCCCGATCAGTCCAAATATCCTAACATTATTACAGCTTGGCCTACTTGCTTCATCGTGGAACCCCCCACATTTGCTTGGCCAAGTTATTACTAGCACATGTATATGCTACTTTTGGAGAAGTAGTAGATACCTTTCGATCCAACCACTTTTTGGGCCAGTATGGTTCATTTAACTATGGTTGGTTGCCATATTTGAATCACGTTCCAACACCTAAATTAACCTCAAGGCTAATCCCCTCATATCTCATGGAAGACACTAGATTAGCTGCTTGCCACCCCAGGCATTAAAAACCCTACTCCACCTTCTATAACACTTACCTCAAATTTTTATTAGCACAAAAAGAATTTAATGACATTCTTGTCCCCTTCTCGAAGATTGGCAACTCCTCCTGACATATTCGAGGTCAACTCTAGCGCAAGTCAAAACCACTAGCGAACATTCCAAGAAGCTGAACGTATTAATGTTTGGAGTGACTTTTTAACATGAGACGTATTGGTTGCGGGCTTCCAAATGAAAGATGTAAAATTCTTCCCATACGTCCCTCAACATGTTTCTCACCAATTTGGTTTAAGTTAAGTTTTCCTCACCTCTCGATTCCATCGACTCATCCCTCGAGGCATTACATACAATGATTCATCCTTGCGAGAAGCACTCATACAATTGACTACTTCAGAGCCAATTGAATTTCACCCCTTCTCGTTCGAGTCCAATTTTCTGAGCACATTCAAGTTTTATAGATGGTATGATTAGTTATTTTCCTCAAGGCATTTTCCTTATACGGTTATAAAAGCTTGATTACAGGCTCACCCTGAATTCCCTATGTAGGATAAAACAAAGGCTACGAAAGGTAAACATGAAAACTACCTTCAAATTATAAAATTTGAGAATTACTATCAAGAATGTTATGATCCCCTTTGATTAAAATCCACCTTTAGGAGCGTTGTCTATTCTTTACAAAACAAATTTTACCAAAATTGAGATGACAGAAAAACTATAAACCCCTTAGATTGAACCCTTTTTGAGTGATTTTGTCCTGTCAATTTACCAACCTTCCCTTATGCTCCTTTTGGAGTTTCTAAACTTTTAACTCACCCCAAATGGCCTCGATAACTTAGATCTCACCGTGAACTTCTATATCCAAAACCAATAACTAAAGCCATTACTGTTTCAAAATTATCTTATTATCCTTACCTTCACTTACCAGACATGCCTTACCTCATTGACTTACCCATATTGAACACGTATCCATGTTAACCAATATACCCTTTGGTGAGGTTTTATTCTCTTGTATACTTCTTCTTTTATCTTTAGAAATTTATGTTTGATCCTTGCATTATTCTTACCTTAATCTCTTTTGCCGTCTCTTCTTCAATCAAAATTATTGATCCTGAAGAAGAAGAAGAAGTCCTCGAGCCCATCAAAGCACCTACTTCTCCCAAAATTCAAAAGAAAAAGAAAATACAAGGCCTTGCTCCTTGCCCAATATGATTCGACATCTTTCGATATTCATCGCTATTCTCAATTTATCTTTAATCATGATTACCTCAGATATTTATTTTACATGTCATAATATACTAAAGTTTTTCATTATTAAAAACAATGACTTGTGTTGCTACAAAATCTTTCAATCAAGCTATTGCAGTCCAATCACCAATAGAGCATACTCTTCAAGACGTTGATCTACCTTTAATGGATCATGCTCTCAAGGTTTCAACTAGTAATGAAGTCGAATTGATAGAAGAAATCGAGAAGGATCCATTCAACATTCTAGAGCTTATGACGACTCATGTAGAAATTTTTGAGGTTGTAGCAAGCTCTTCTTCCATCCCATCACCTAGTCTTGATGTGTTAAATTTGGTGGGGGTGTTTAGAAATTTCATATATTCTTCCCCATTAGAAATGACCATCGATGCTACACACAAGAAGAAAGAATTCCAAGATATTCTCAATAAGATCCAATCTATTCCTACTGAGCATCTTCCTCCAGGTTTCGACGATGAGGTGTTGATGGTTACTAACATATTCAATGAATGTCGATCCTTGAGGAAGAGACACTTAGCTTTGGGTGCAAAAAAAGAAAAGATTGAAGTTGCCCCTACGAGAAAGACATAATCACTTAATCAACACAAGACTAAGTTTGAGGCTTTCAAAATAGATCAAATGAACACTACCACTATTTTGGCTAAAGAAAAAACCAAGTGTGCAACCCTCAAACAACAAATCTTTGATCTTCAACAACAACTACAACTCTCAGCAGCCAAAGCGGAAGAACTTACCAAATCTCAAACCTTTCTAAACGAAGAATCCTCAAGCTTATTAGACATGTACAAACACATTGCAATGGATCTCAAAGATGATTTGGTTACACTAGCAAATAATAGGAAACAATTAGCTTTAGTGTCAACTTCTTTTCATTCCCTAATTGTAAAATTTAACCATCTTTGATCGAAGCACAATTTTTAAACACTTCGATGTGTATTTGTATATACACAATGTGTTTACTTTCATTTTTACCTCTTCAATTTCTTTCATATAAGGTAAGTCTTGAATGACTTTAAATATTTATCATTGATCGAGAGTTTTGTTTGTCCATCGTAACAACTAGTTATAATATAGGCATTATTCAATAATACTTTCACGACTTTGAAGAGACCTTTCCAATTAGGCGACGACTTTTCATAACGTTTTGATTTTTGATCCATAGGTAAAATCACTTTCCACACTAAATCCCCTTCTTTGAAACTTTT